CAGCGTCACCGGGTGGCCCAGGCTGCGCAGTCGCCGCGCGAACATGACCGAGTCGTCCAGCATGGGGTCCAGCGCGCACGCCTGCGGGCCGGGCCGGGGAAGGGCACGTGAACGCGGGAGGGAAACGGGTGTGGACGGGGTGGGCAGCGGCCGGAGACACGGGGCGCGCAGCTGGGGAGAGGAGGGCACGGGCGCAGGCGTGGGAAGGAAGAGTGCGTTGACCCGGGGCTCCCCGGCCTCCGCCCAGCCTCTCCCGAACCTCCCCATGCGCTCCGGGCCGCCCACCTCCCCGGGCCGCCCGCCCCTCGCAGGCGCACCCTCCGCCCGGCGCTCACCACGATGTGCACGGGGGGCAGGGTCTTCAGCATGTGGTCGGGGGCCAGCAGTGGAGACATGAAGGGGTTCTTGACGATGGGCGACGAGTAGAGGGGCATCGGCCGGGCCCGCCGCGGGTGGAAGCCCTCCGGGAACGCGGCGCGGGAGCCGTGGTCTCTGTCCTTGGTGCTCGGCTCACTCCTGGCCTCCGGCTCTTCGGGCACCTTGTCAGGCCGCAGTAAGAAGTTGACGTCGGAGGGTGTGGACGGGCCAAGCATCTCCGCCGACAGCGACATCTCGGGGGCATCCGACCCGTCGGAGCTGCTCCTCAGGCTCAAGTCCTTCAGTGTCAGACCCTTGAGGGAGTCCGAGCCCAGCGGGCCCTCGGGCTGGGTCAGTGCTGCTTCAGACACGCTGCGGCGCATTGGTTCTGCGGGAGGGCAAGGGCAGGGCGCTGCAGGGCTGACCATCCAGAAGCCTGGCTCTGTGAGCTGGGTGTGTGGCTGACAGGAAGGGTCATGGGAGGGACAGTGGCTTGTGGAGGAGGAGCGTGGAGGCCTGGAGTCTGGGGATGGGTGGGGAATTCTAAGTGCCCCGGCCTACAGCCTCAGGGGGAGGTGGAGGGAGTGTGTGTGTTGTGTGTATGTGTGTGAGAGAGATTGGGGAGCTTAGTGCACGTCCTTTACTTCTGGAGGCTGCTCCCCTCATAACAGATCATGACTGAAGCCTGACTGCCAGGATTGGAGCCCAGTCCCAGCCACCAGTGTGTCCCCAGCAGGAGGCCAAAGCAGCTTTTCATCGCCACTTGAAAACATGGTGTGAATGCACCGAAGTGGTCCCAATAGGGCTTGAAAGGAGCCCTGTTCACAGGGAGTAAGAGCCTCCAGGTAGATCAGATTCCTGAGATCTGGACCTGTAGCCACATGGATCGGCGGCCCCAAATTTCCTCCATGTGCTTCACTTTTATCCCTTCCCGCTGAGTGACCAGGCAAGCAAGTGCCCGAAGATGCTAAAGATGTGCCCAGCTTGGTTTCAACTTGTTCATTTTCTCAGACTCACACTGCTCACCACCACGGCCAGATTTTGCACATCTTGAGAAATCCACAAGGACATAGTGCAAGACCTGAGGATTCCTGCTTAAGTGCTCAGTGACCCAGAGGATCCCTGAAAGCCTGGGACAAGGACAGGGTGCTACATCTCCTAGGAATGTTCTATCATTTCACAGAGGAGCAAACCAGGGCTCGCAGAAACTGTTGCTTGCCCACGTTCCCCAGCAACCAGCGAGTCACTACTGGAGTGCGGATCTAGGCTGGCGTGTATGCCTCTGGGGCTGCACGTATCACCTTTATCCTAGAGGGAAAACTCTAGTACTCTGGGGCCAGCAGAGGGCATAGCGGCTACATGGCTGGACTCCCACATGGCTGACTGCAGTTTGAGTCCTGGACCTGGTGGCTTAAACTCACACTGGGCAGTGTGCATGTGTGCCCAAGATCTTGGGAGGAGAATGAAGGAAAAGGGATTGTGGTGTGGCTATACTCCTTGGGGGGTAACTTCTCACTTTCCCTCTCACTGTCTCTGTGTCTTTCTCTGGTGGGCCCAAATGCCCTAAAGCAAAAACCTTAAAAAAAACCCAAAACCCACAAACCCAGTACTCAGTGGCCCACCTGCTTCAAATTCAACTCCCTTTTAATTGTTTTTGTGTGTATTTAATTGCATCCATTTGAAGATCCTAAAATTAAAAATTTAAGGGGCCAGCAGATGGCATTATGGTGACGTTGTTAGACTCCTATGTAATTGGCCACAGTTCAAGTGCCAGACCTGGTGGCTTAAAACTCATGCTGGGCACCTGTGTGTGCATGCCTAAGGTCCTGGAAGGAGGAGAAGGAATTGTGGTGTGGCCATCCCCCCCTGGGGAGGTGATTTCTTGCTTTCTAGCTCTCTGGTGAGCGCATGCACTCTATAGCAAAAATCTCTCTTAAAAAAAATTAAGGGACCAGCAGTTGGTGTAATGGCTATGTTACTGGACTCTCATGTACTCAACTGCGGTTCGCGTCCCAGACTCGGTGGCTTAAACTCACACCGGGCATGCGTGCGTGCGTGCCCAAGATCCCGAGAGGAGAATGGAGGAGAAGGGATTGTGGCATGCATGGCCACCTCCCCTGGGGAGTGATTTCTCGCTTTCTGTCTCTCTTTCTCTCTGATGCATGCACATAGCAAGAACTGCTCCCCCCCCCAAAAAAAAAAAGAAAAGAAATGGCTTGAACTATTACCTGGAATCAAATATAAAGTTAATTCTTTAAAAAAACAAAACAAAACAAAAATTAAAAAATTAAAATAAAACACATGTAATCGGTGTGGTGGTTAAGGGCACTGGACTCCCACATGGCCGACCACAGTTCAAATCCTGGATCTGGTGGCTTGCTTTCTCACTCTCCTCTCTCTCTCTCCCTCTCTGGGAGAGAGGGAGAATTAAAAAACAAAACAAAACAAAACAAAATAAACACATGTAATTGGAATAATTACCTGAATAACAGAAATGTGTATTTTTTTTTTTTTTGAGAGAGGAATTTTTGTAATAGGGTACGTGCATTCACCAGTGAGACAGAGAGAGACAGAGAGACAGAAAGTGAGAAATCAGCCCCTGGGGGGATGGTGACACTGCAGTCCCTTCTCCACTCTCATGATTTTGGGCATACATGCATGTGTCTGACATGAGTTTCAAACTGTCATGTCTGGTATTCAAACTGCAGTCCATGTGGGAGTCCAGCGATGTAACTGCTATGCCATCTGCTATAGGGCGTGTGTGCTTGCCAGAAAGACAGAGAGAGACAGCGAGACAGAAAGCGAGAAATCACCCCCCAGGGAGGATGGCCACGCTGCAACCCCTTCTCCTCCATTCTCCTCTTGGTATCTTGGGCACGCACGCACACACTCCTGCTTTGAGCTTAACCCACCGGGTCTGGAACTCAAACCACGGTCTACTACATAGGAGTCCAGCGATATAGCCATTACGCCAACTGCTGGTCCCCAGGAAAATCTACTTCTGAGTATACAACTCCTATTATTCAGAAAATACTGACTTGTTAGACATAGAAAATCAGTGGAATTGGTTGCGCTTAAAAGTCCTTAGAATGGGCCAGTCCTGTGGCCTAGTGATGAAGGGCATCAGGTCTCACATGACTGATTGCACAGTTTGAATCCTGCCCCCAGTGGCTTGAAAAACATGCCGGGTGCATGTGCAAGCATGCCCCAACTCCAGGATGGAGAAATGGAGAAAAGATTGGGGCGTGACCACCCCTATTGGAGGGTGCTTTTCCCCTCTTTGTCTCTGTTTTTAATGAGCGCCTGCACCCTCTGACAATTAAAAAGCCTTTAAGGGGCCAGCAGATGGCATAGCAGTTATGTTCCTAGACTCCAGCATGGCTGACTGTGGTTTGAGACCTGGGCCTGTTGGCTTGAAACTCACACTGGGTGCATATGTGTGCATGCCCGAGATCCAGGGAGGAGAAGGGATTGTGGCATGGCCATCCTCCCTGGGGGTGGTGATTTCTCACTTTCCTGCTCACTGTCACTGTCTCTCTCTCTCTCTCTGGTGAACACACATGTCCTAAGGCCAAAATCTCTAAAAAAAACCCCAAAAAACAAAAACCACTTTAAAATGTCATGGTGGTTAAAAATAGATCCCTTATGGAAGTGATCTGTGGCTGCCTGAGGGTCCTGCCATCCTCTCAAGGCTGGGAACTTCGCTCACTCCCTAAGGCCTGTGCAATGCGCGCATCTCCCCATCCCAGCTCTCAGCCAGCTCCTGGAAGTGTATGGGAACGAATAAGGAGGGCTGGTTCCCCACCTGAGAGCACGAAGACCGTGGGTGGGGTTCTGAGGACTGAAAACCAGGTCTTCCGGGGCATAGCCCATGCCTTTCTGGGTGAGGCGGTTTGGAAAGCTAAATACTGCACGTCCTAGGGCTGTGACATGATCTGGGGACCGGAAGTTCTGGAATTTCCAGGATGTGGACTGTCATGGAAAATGAAGGCTGTGTGGTAGGAACCAGGGACAGGGCAGAGCCAGCCTGAAGGTGATCTGTTTCCCCGGGTGTTGCCAAGCTCGCCCCTCTCTCCCCCAGGACTTCTGGCCTGTCAAGCTGTTCCTCCTGGCCACCCAGACTGGCCCCTTGGAGGAGGGTGTCTCTCACCTGCTGTGGGCACGGTGGTTTTGGAGGGTTTGCGCCCGCTCAGCTCCAGGAAGGAGTTGAGCCAGGAGGAGGCACCCAGGCGGAGGTCTCGGAGGAGCAGGGCCGTGTCCCGGCGCACTAGTCCCATCATGCCCAGTGCCTTCTCGTCTGACTCCACGTGGTCCTCTGTCTCCGCACCTACACGGTGTATGTTGGGGCTGAGTTGGATCCCTTACCTTCTGGGCCCAGTCTCAACACCCAGGACTTCAGGCATCTGTGCCCGTGGGGACACACGCTATCTCAGATTCCTCTGATCAGCCCTCCTCCCCAGACCCAGGGTCCAGGCCCCCAGCCCCTCCTCCCCCAGATCCAGGGTCCAGGCCCCCAGAAAAAGGCCCCAACCTTCTGGCGTCAGGGGTTCACGGGCTGCTCAGAAGCCCACCTACGGACGCCCCTCCTCCCCCAGTGAGAGGAAGCCAGACCCAGGGTCCAGGCCCCCAGCCCTCCTCCCTCAGACCCAGGGATCCAGGCCCCCAGCCCCTCCTCCCCAGCCCCAGGGGTCCAAGCCCCTAGTTCCTCCTCCCTGAGACCAAGAAGTCCAGGACCCCAGCCCTCCTCCCTCAGACCCAGAAGACTGGGTCCCAGCTCCGGTCTCTGCGGCACCCAGGCATCTGAGCACCTCCTGCCCCTGCTCTGAGGGTGGGACCTTACCAGCATAGGCGCTGACACACTTGGAGAGCACACTGAGGGGCAGCAGGGGGTCCATGAGGCTCAGCAGGCGAGAGGGGGAGGCGGCAGACTGCAGCATCGTGGCAGGGTAGGCTGCCATGATGCCATCTGGCACACGTACCCCATAGGCTGCTGCCCGAAGGGACACCGTGAAGCAGAGGTTCCCACCTGCACTGTCCCCAGCAAGGCATATCCGCTCCCCTGTTGAGCCTAGTTGGGGAGAGGGTTGGTCACAGTTGGCAGGGCAGGCGACTTAGGAGAGGGCAGGGAGAAATATGGGCTAGGAGAACCAGACCCTCAGAGGTGGGGTGAGGGGCTCTCCAAGGTTGAGCAGATTGCAAATTTAGAAGCTGGTAAACTGAGGCAAGGATTTAGGCCCATTTGGTAGACAAGGATCAGGAAGGCTCGGGGACAGTCCGGGAGATAGAAGGGGAGCAGCCGGTGGTGGGCAAGGGGTGCTCAGAGCCTGTGTCAGGAGGGCATCAGAGGCTAGGGCTGGAGGGTCAGGCAGTGCTGGGGTGTGGCCGCACCCTGCTCTGTGCCTGGCTTGTATTTGAGGGGGGAGGTTGGAGAGGCTGTAGCATGGGTCAGGAGCTGCAGCGCTGGGGGCGGGGGCTGGAACAACTGCAGGAGGAAGGAGGCCGTAGGGCAGGCGGGAGGGCCGGAATGGGTTAGATGAGGAGGAGGAGGTGGAGGAGAGTCGGGCTGGAGCGCGGGCGCAGGAGCTGAGGCTGAAGGGCTGGGAGGGAGGGCCGGTGTTCAGCGAGGCAGTGTGTGGATCACTGAGGCTGGAGGAGCCAGGTGGTTCACACCCCCTGCAGGATGGGATGGGGGGCTGGAGCAGGTTGGGGCTGGGATAGTGGGGGCTGAGGCTCACCGAGGAGGGCACAGTTCTTGATGGCCCAGCAGTAGGCGAAGAAACACTCCTCCAGGGCACGGGGGAAGGGGGCCTCAGGAGCCAGGGAGTAGTCGATGGAGATGATGGGGGCGCCCAGCTCCTGGGCCCAGGTCTTGAGGTAGGGCTCGTGGGACTTGGAGGTCTGGGCCACGAAGCCTCCTCCATGGATGTGTATGACCAGGGACTGTGAGCGGGGTGCCTGCTGGGGGCGTGGCCGCAGCTCTAGGCTCCGTGGACCTTCAGACTTCACCAGCCTGCTGAGCTCCTTGCTGTCCTAGGAGAGGCTGGAGTGAGCTTGGGCTGAGCCTGCCTGGGCCTTCCCCCCAGCCCCCCGCTGCCAGGATGTGCTGAGACAGGACAGGGGTGGGTTGTGATAAAAGAGGCAGGAGGCCAGGGCAGGGAGAGGGGGCTGACCGCGGTCTGTCCCCATTCCTGGCTGAGGCCAGGACCCTACCTGCCCATCACGTAGGTCATAGGAGATGAGCCTGACGAGGACGGGCCCAGGGCCCGTGTGGGCCAGGGGCGGTGAGATGGTGACTGTGAGCTTGGGGTCGGTAGTCAGCGGCATCTCAAAGGCCTCGGGCGGCAGACTGAGCAGGCGGCTTACCCTCACGGTGGCTGACGCCATGTTGGCCAGAGACTGGTGGGAGGGAACAGAAGGCGTGCTGGGGAGGGGCTGTGTGTGGGGAGGTCCCACAGGCCTTCCTTTTGAGCCCCAATCTTTCTGCTCACGTGCTCTCCCGGCAGCCCTTCAGAGACCTGTTGTGGCCTTGGCTAGCTCTTTGGGCATCAGTGTCCCCACCTGTAACAGGCCAGGCCCTCACCAGGCCCCACACTCACCGACAGCACCTCGATCTCGGTGATATTCCAGAAGGCTTTCCAGAAGTGCACGTCTAGGTTCTGTGTGATCCGCTCAAACTCAGCCCCGCGCAGCTCTGGGTCAATGGCGAAGCGGCCACTGGTGAAGAGGGAGCTGGCAGTCACACCTGGGGGTTGGAAGGGGTGTCAGGGAGCCCTGGTGGGTTAGGCTGCTTGGCGGGGTGGGGAAGAGACGGGAGAGGAGCTGTGGGCAGGGCCCGGCTAGCACTCACCAAGGCCTGTCTCATTGCGTTTGTAGTGCTCCCCGAAGGACACCAGCCCAATGGAGATGGTCTGCAGGAACGGCCGGATGGCGGGCGTGAACTGTGGAGAGACGCGGCTGTGACACCCTCCCCCCGCCCGGCAGAGGGACAGCGCAGGAGCGAAGGGAGACACGTTCATCCTGTACACAATTTGTGAGCTCCCCCGGGTGCCGAGCAGGGCTCCAGGCCCCTTCATGGGCCTGATGTTCCGAAAGGGAGGCAGACAGAGCCTTATGCAATCTGATGGCAAGTAGTGAATGACGTGAAGACAGACACAGAAGGGGGAGAGGACTGAGTGGTGGCTCAGGCTACTTAGATGGGTCTCGGGGGTGACGGAAGGGTGTCCCCTGCAGGGGCACAGCAAGCGCAAGGCACTGAGGTGGGCCTGTGCTCTGCACGCAGGCCGCCAGTGTGCTGTGCAGTGACTGGGGGTGGGGCAGGAGGTGAGGCCAGACAAGCCAAGACGCTCTTAGCGGTGTAGCCTGAGGAATCGGACTTCGTTCTGAGTGGGGGATGAGCTGCTGGAAGGATGGGGGCCGGGAATAAGATGATGCAGAGGCTTCCTGAAAGTCCTAGAGAGGACAGACGGATGGGGGTGGAGCGGCAGGGAGACAGAAACAGGGAGGCGGTCGGAGAGCCGACAGGTACAGAGATTCTGAGGCAGAAAGACGGCCGTCTGGGGGTACTGAGGCCCAGAGATGGGGACCAATAGCTACCACAGAAAAGTGGAGAGACAGGATCTGAGACAGGGTCTGGGAAGTTAGGAAAAGACAATGGGAAACAGGGTCAAAGGACACAGTGACAGGAGGCTCGGCAGGGGGCCAGCAGGGTTCTGCTGTTCGCACAGCCGACATGGGCCAGGACCTTACCGCATGGTAGACACGGGGCTGGCACAGGGACAGGACAGTGACTGAGACAGGGGAGGCCGCTGCCCTCGGCATTTAGAGGGGGAGTCTGTTGTGCAGCATAGCAGAGCTGGGCTCCTGGAGATTGGCGGTCAGGCATGGCCTTGCCCCTGGCAGGGGGCCCAGTGGGCCAGAGAGCACAGGGGTGCCTGGCCATTGTGCCTGAGGTGCTGGTTCAAGCAGTCCTGGGATCTCTTTCTTGTGACTCTGAGGTCATGACAGGACACAGGGAGGAGCTGCTGGCCTGGCTGGGCTGATGCATATGTGTGGGTTCAGCCCGAGTGAGGGAAGTTCCTAGGAATACCCAGGCTGGGCAGTTGAGGATGGGCTGGCCCACGGGGAATCCTGGAGAGGTGGGGAGTGAGGAGGGGTGCTGAGAAACTTCCAGGCTCAGCCGTCACTGAGGTGTGGGGAGGCCCAGAGAGGGTTGGAAAGAATACAGGGTCACACAGCTCCAGGTAACCCTGCTGGGGACACCTGATACAGCTGGGGCTGGGATACCCAGCACTGACCCTAGACAGGCAAGTCGGCCCTCTGCTCTGGGCCTGGTGCTCCCCTTCAATTCTCCAAGTCCCCAAACTACTTTTTTTTTTTTTTTTTGGAGGTTTTTTCTATTGGGCGACTTTGTCCGCGCTGGGCTGATGCATATGTGTGGGTTCAGCCCGAGTGAGGGAAGTTCCTAGGAATACCCAGGCTGGGCAGTTGAGGATGGGCTGGCCCACGGGGAATCCTGGAGAGGTGGGGAGTGAGGAGGGGTGCTGAGAAACTTCCAGGCTCAGCCGTCACTGAGGTGTGGGGAGGCCCAGAGAGGGTTGGAAAGAATACAGGGTCACACAGCTCCAGGTAACCCTGCTGGGGACACCTGATACAGCTGGGGCTGGGATACCCAGCACTGACCCTAGACAGGCAAGTCGGCCCTCTGCTCTGGGCCTGGTGCTCCCCTTCAATTCTCCAAGTCCCCAAACTACTTTTTTTTTTTTTTTTGAGAGGTTTTTGCTATAGGGCGCATGTGCTCGCCAGACAGACAGAGACAGACAGACAGAGAGGCAGAAAGTGAGAAATCACCCCCCAGGGGGGATGGCCATGCCACAATCCCTTCTCCTCCGTTCTCCTCTCGGGATCCCGGGCACGCACGCACACGCGCCTGGCGTGAGTTTTAAGCCATCGGGTCCGGGACGTGAACCGTGGTCGACTACGTGGGAGTCCAGCGACATAGCCATTAGGCTAACTGCTGGTCCCAGCCCCAAACTACTTTATAATCCAAGTCTGAGGACTTCAGGCTGCCTCACTTTCAATGTGGTGACGAGCTGTGTCTGAGGGTGGTTTGACATGGCCTCCGGCCAGGGTCAGGATGCCTCGCTCTGGGAGGAGGGGAGCCACACCAGGTCTTCCTCACTGTCGCCAACACTGATGAGCTCGCTGGCCTTCCTCCAGGCCTGAAAATCCTGTGATTCCACAGCTTCTCACGTGAGTGAAAAAGCCCAGGCTCCGGCCCAGCTGCTGGGCTAGCACCCTCCCTCCCTTCCAGAACACCAGTGGGGATGACTACAGGGGGTGTACAGACAAAGCAGGCTCCAGACAGCGCTGACTACCCTTCCAGGGCCTCAAGGCCAAAGGGCTTCAGGGGAACATAAGAGAGTGACTGCATCTCCTGACTGTAAGACAGCAAGGCAGGGGGGATCCGGGGAACGCAGCCCGGCAGGTGACAGCAGTCTTCCTAGCCCGCAGGTGTGGCCCCAAGCCATGAGCGGAGATCCCAGTGCAGGTCTGCCTGAGCTCCAGCCGACCTCCCCTTTCTGTACTGCTGTTTTCAGAACCCAGGTATATCGACCACTGGGGTGACTCTACTGTATTATTAGAAAAGGGCAGGGCTCACCAGGTGCCTTCACAGTGGGGCCAGACAGGCATGGGGCAGGCGGTGGGGGCGGGGAGCTCACCTGGAAGCCCAGGCAGCGGCCATAGAAGCAGCCCTTATGCAGTGTGACGTACTCACGCAGGAAGTCTGCAGTGAGCCCCTCATCGCCCTCGAAGAAGAGCCGCCCCGGCCGGTTGGTGGCCAGCAGGCGCTGTGCATAGTAGGTCAGGGCGCGCAGCTGGGTGAGGGCAGCCAGGTAGGCTTCCAGTTCGGCCAGGTTGTGGCTGGTGCGGAAGAAGATGCTGCGGCGGTTGGAGGCCACGTAGCGGGATTTATGGAGTAGATGTGCCAGGCAGCAGCGGGCTGTGTGCACCAGGCTGCGGTACCCGTTGGCTGGTGTGTCCGCGTCCAGGTCAAAGAGGTGTGCCACACTCAGCAGGCGGGCCAGGACCGGCTCTAGCCCCAGCGCCTGCTCCCGAACACCTGCAAAGACACCTGACAGCCGCCGCACTGTCTCCCCAGGGCCCTGGCTTGCGAAGAAGGCCATGTTGTCCTCTGCAACAGTCACCAGCGACTGGGTCATTGTGTGTAGGTCCATGCTCTGCTTTAGCCTCGACACTGTGGGCAAGGTGGGGAGGCCTGTGAGGCAGGGCTGCCTGGCTGGCGCCCAGGACTCCAGGCCCCCAGCCCTCCTCCCTCAGACCCAGGACTCCAGGCCCCCAGCCCTCCTCCCCCAGACCCAGGGGGCGCCAGCCCTCCTCCCACAGACCCAGCAGTCCAGGCCCCCAGCCCTCCTCCCCCAGACCCAGGAGTCCAGGCCCCCAGCCCTCCTCCCTCAGACCCAGGAGTCCAGGCCCCCAGCCCTCCTCCCTCAGACCCAGGAGCCCCTCTGCTTCCCTAAGCAGGACTCAGAAATTTGCTGTCTCTGGCCCCTCCCTCTCTCTTGGACCCAAGAGTCCAGACATTCTCTTGAGCCCACAGGAATCTAGCTCCCTCACTCCTGTGTCTCTCCTACAATCCAGGAGACCCCTTCCCTTCTTTCTTCCTCCAGGGACCCAAGAATTGAGGTGCTCGTCTCTATCTACTCTTCTGAGACCCAGGACTCCTAGATTATGGAAGTCTAGCCCCTGGCTGGTCCCCTCTGTCAGTACCCAGGGCCCCCACCCCATCTTACCTTCTTATGCTCAGCTGTCACAGGCCCATCCCCTCCCATAATATCTGGGGACATCCAACCCCCAGCCCATCCATTTTCATCTCCCAGGACCTTGGCCCCCAAGCCCAACCCTCTTCCAGAACCCAGGAGTTCATAATTTCAGCCTGACTTCACTGAGGAGTGACTTTGGGTCCCTCAACTCTGGCTGTGGAAACCCCTCCAAACTCCAGCTCCCTCCCTTTGCCTCCACGGGCTCCCCAAAACTAGCTCTCACTTCTCCCCTGGCTGGACTCCTGGCCTCTGGGCCTGCCCACTTGTCTTAGAAGGCAGTGGCGGCCCTGCTCCCCTGCCTGGAAGCACAGCACTAAGCCCTGACACTGACCTCGACCCGTGCTGAGGTTTCGGTGCCTCTGCTCCGTTAGCGTGTTACCGCGCTGGGCCCAGCCGGCCTGGGCTCAAGTCTCTTACGGCTAGCGGCTCTGTTAGTGTCTCCATTTTATAGGAGAGGAATCAGGTTCAAAGGTGCAACGCATGGAGCTGGAGGTTGCACTTAGCGCGGCAGAGCCGATTCCCACCCAGGTCTCGGGGACCAGAGTCCTTCCTTACACCAGGCCCTCCCAGGCTCTCTGGCTGGGCCTCCCAGTGCTGGCCTTCAAAGCCTTGCCAGGTGCTGTGCTCGGCTCTCCATGCTCTGGCCACAGTGATCTTTCCCTCTGGGATTTCTGTCCTTCCCAGGCACCCAGGCCACCCTGCTTCTGGGATGCCCTGTCACCCCAGGCCCTGGACAAGCTGCCCTCACACCCCTAGGTAGGGAATGCCTTGCCTGGCCCCTGGGATCATAGCCGCCCCATTCTCCCATGAGAAGGTGACTCCTCTGGCTTGGGGCCCTCCGGCTGGCAGTAGCCATTTCTGCCTGTGAGCTGCCATGCACTCACCCCTCCCAGGCTTCTTCAGAGCTCCCCAGTCTGAGACTGCTGGTCTGTGGCTAGTGTCAGTAGCAGCCTGGGGCGATAAGCCAGAGGAGGGGCCAGGGTGTGGCCACCCGCTCCACCTCCCTCCTCAAAAGGACAGCAAGTACCACGTGTTGTAAACAGAGCCCAGAGCCCAAGTCCCTGCCCCTGCCTGCTCTGACCGAGAGACCTTGCTCCAGGCTCCTCTGCTTAGAACCCAGAAGTCTGGCCCCATTCCCTCCTCCCAGGCCCAGGAGTCTGAGCCCGCAGTCCTGAGCACACTGTCCCCTCTCACCCAGCCAGGCTGCCCTCCCTCTCCCCACAATGGATTCAGGGAACCAAGAGCCCAGTGATCTCAGTTCCTGTCCCCCAGGCCGGCCCTGGCACAGCCAGCCCCAGCTGCTGGGGGAGAGAGGAGGTAGCCAGCCCTGCCTGTCCCTCCTGGGAGGACAAAAGCTGATTAGGGGCAGTGCCAAGCTAAGCTGGGGGCCTGAGCCACAGGTCCTATTGGGTGACATTTCTACACTGGCATCTTGTATCTGTCACTTACCCTTCAGGGCCCGCCCTGCCGTGACTGGCATCTCCTCATTTATGGAGACACTGAGACCCAGAGAGACACTTCGCCTATGTTTCCCCACCTGCTCCTTGCCTAGAGGGCTCTTTGTCATCCTCTAGGCCTCAGCTTGCTACAGTCAAAGGGGCGAGGTGCTTTCTAACTGCTCCTACCCAGCTCAGATCTGCATCCCCCTGTTATTTTTCACCATAATACTTAGTTCTTCTGTTTCCTAGCATTTTACACGTTTTGCAGTTATACATTTATTGTGTTTCCGTGTTTATTATTTGTCTTTGCCGGGACGGAACCAAGTTTTTAGGAGCATGAAACTTACAAGGTGTGTGTGTGGTGGGGGTATGGCTAGGAAGAATACAAAATTATAAACACAAAAGTAGGTACAGGGCCTTGGAAGGGGCCTGTGAAAATCAGAGGCCCTGAAGCCTCATTTGCTTGGCTGTGGGAGAATCTTCTGTCTTTCCTTTGCTAGACTGTCGTCCCCATGAGGGCAGGGGATGGCTGCAGTGGGGGCCTAGGGCATAGCAGGTGCTCTGCAAATACCCAGAATATATATATATATATATATATATATATTCAATTTTATTCATTCATTTATTCATTTCTTTTTATTTGACCAGACACACACACACACACACACACACACACACACAGAGAGAGAGAGAGAGAGAGTGAGAAAGCAAACTACCGGGTCCAGGACTCAAACCATGGTCGACCATATGGGAGTGTCCAGTGCCTTAACCACCATGCCACCTGCTGGTCCCCCGAGAGGCAGTTCTAAGCTTGGGGCTGTGAAAAAGGAAGACTGGCTCAAGTCTCTTGCCAGGTGACTCTGAGTGAGTTTGTTTTCCTCATCTGAAAACTGCATGTGGCCCACTCAGGGTGGGAGGCATGCTTTATTTATTAAGAACTCTCTTTGGGGGCTAGCAGGTGGTGTGATGGTTAAGGTGCTAGACATGGCTATGGTTTGAGTCACAGACCTGGCAGCCTGCTTTTTAACCTTCCCCCCCTCTGGTCAAATTAAAAGATAATAAATAAAAAAAAAAAACACAAACCTTGAGCAATTTTCTTTAATTGCCAGAGGGCACACGTACTTATCAAAGAGATGAAGAAAGGGTGCCAGGGGGGTGCAGTCATGCTGCAATCACTTCCGTGTTTCTCCATCCTGTTGGGATTGTGGGCACACATGCACATGTACCCAGCGTATTTTTCAAGGGCCAGGATTTGAACTATAGTCAGCCACGTGGGGTCCAGCTCCCTTAACCACTAGGCTGCAGGGCTGGCCCAGGAGACGTGCTTTGTAAATGCCACCCACAGGGGACATTTTCTGCTCTGGTTTGCTTTGTGGGTTCACTTGGCTTCACTGAGATGATGTGTTGGGTTATTTTCTCTGTGGTACATACTGTCTAACATAGGATTCCATTTAAGATTTATGTTGCTGTTTCCCGACTAGATTATAGGTTCCCTGAGGGCAGGGCCTCTCCTCTGTCTTATTCAGCCCTCGTGCAGTTCCTGGTGCACAGCTGGACCTTGGTAAACATTTCTTGCCTGACGCTGGGATATCCCACTTTATAAACCCAGTCTCATTTATCTCCCATCTATGGGGTAGGGCTCTTTCTCCAAGATGAGGAGAGAGGACGCGCCAACAGAACAAGCAACCAGCACGAGGCAGTGGGGAAGGGGCTGGATCCCAGGCCCTAGTGACTCTAGCACCCTGTCTTGGCCCTGTTCTGGGCAGCTTTCCAAGGGCTGGGGTGAGTGGATCTGGGAGGAAGGGCTGTTGAAGTTGCCAAAAACTTAACAAGCATTCCAGGCAGAGGGCACTGGGGCAGGGGCAGGCCCACTAGGACCTCGGGGTGTGAAGTGGGACAGAGGTAGGCCTGAGGCGGCTCAGCTGGCTGACTGGGCTTCAGTCCTTTGTCCTAAAGAACCACTGACAGCTGGACCTGGCTTGGACTTTGGCCCCTGGGGATTGAGCAGGGGGAAAGGGGAGGTGGGGAAGGAAGTGTGGGGTGGGTGGAGAAAGGCCGGATCTGGGGTCTGGGCGGGTACAGATGGGTGAGCATGGCCTGCTCCGAGAGTCTGCAGGAACCAGCAAATGTGGGCTGCATTAGTGACTGTGGGTGCTGGACACTGTTCTCTGTGCTTTAGGTGAAGCGACTAGTACCATCCACCTGCAACCCATGAGGTGGGTAGCATTATCACCCCCTTTCTGCCGATGAGAGAACTGTGGTGTAGGGAGGTGGCATGGCCACCTAGGATCACAGAGCCAGCAAGGGGCAGCTGCAGGATGGGACAGCTGTTCTGTGTTTCTCTGTGTATCTGTGTTGCTCTTTTGGCTGTCGATGCCTCAGCCGTACACTCACCGGGTGGTCACATATGCATATATGCGCACGTATACGTGCACCTGTCGGGACATGGCATGACCAGTGTGTGCCTTGGCCTGTTTGTGTGAAGGTCAGTGTGTCGACATTTTTTCTCTGTCTGTACACTTTCATGTTTCCCAGTATGTCTGAAGGTACGAGGGCACTTCAGAAAGTTTTGGAGAAATGGAATTAAATTGTGAGTTTATTTTGCTGCAAAAAATATTGGAATTCATGCAGTTTTTTTCATAACACGTATTTCCTGTGAACTTCTTTTTAATGCCAGAGGGTGGGTGTGTGTGCGTACACGAAACGGAGACAGAGAGAGAATGTGTACATGTGTACATGCACATGTGTCCCCCAACCGGGCCCAGTCATGCAGCAATCCTTTTCCTCACTTCCCCATCCCATCAGGATCCTGGGCACACACACATGTATCTGGTATGTTTTTTAAGCCTCCAGGATCAGGATTTAAGCCATGGTCAGCCATGTGGGATCTGGCTTCTATTTAGCACTTACCCACTGCACTAACCTTTCCAGGGATTTCTTTTTAAAGACCCTGTGTATGTATGTTTGAAGGTGTGCGTCACGGGCTACATATGTTTCTTAGCCTGTGAGTGTGTTTCTGTTTTTCTTGGCCTGTGAATTTGTGTGAGCACGTATTTGTGTATGTCTGAACATATATACATACTTGTGCAAATCCTGGTCTGTGTGTGTGTGTATTGAGAACACGCCTCTCCCCATCTACTCATTCTGGAACCCAGGGTGTCATCCCGGCCACCTCACCCACCTTGCACCCAGTCATCACTCAGTCCTATCTGATCTGCCCCCAGGAGTCCCTGGAAGCTGGCCCTTCTTCTCTCCTTTGCTGCCTTCTTTCTGGTCTGGGCGACTGCAGCCTCATCTGGAGGACTGTAACACCTCTTTTTTTTTTTTTTTTTTGGAGAAGTTTTTGCTATAGGGCGTGTGCGCTCGCCAAACAGAGAGAGACAGAGAGACAGAAAGCGAGAAATCACCCCCAGGGGGGATGGCCACACCGTAATCCCTTTGCCTCCATTCTCCTCTTGGGATCTTGGGCGTGCATGCACACACGTCTGGCGTGAATTTAAGCCACCGGGTCTGGGACTCGAACTGCGGTCGACTACGTGGGAGTCCAGCGACATAGCCATTACGCTAACTGCTGGTCCCCAGGACTGTAACACCTCTTTATGTGTCTCTGACTTTTTTTGTTTAAAGGAATTATTTTATTTAACTTTATTTATTTAACTTTGACCAGAGCGGGACAGGGAGAAAGCAAGAGGGAGAAAGCAAGTTGCCAGGTCTGGGACTTGAACTGCGGTCAGCCATGTGGAAGTCCAGCGCCCTTAACCACACCACCTGCCAGCCCAATGTCTCTGATTTTGTCCCCTCCAACTGCTCTCCACAGAGCAGCCAGAGGATAGTTTCAAAACATAAATCTGATCGAATGCTTGCAACTCTTCAATGCCTTTCTGCCTTGCTCTTAAGGATAAAGCTCGAATCCTGGACATGGCCTTCCCAATCAGGAACCACCCTCCTCTCTTACCCTGCCCACCTCTGTTACCATTCCTCCTCTCGTGCTCAGTGTCCTCAGGCCTCGAGGTCTTTGTCATGCTGTCCTCTCTCTGCCCTCACTAGCCCCCTTTGCCAGCAGTTAATGCCTGCCCGTCCTTGAGTCTGATGTCACCTCCTTGAGAAGCCTCCCTCTTTCAAGTTCGCAGGTTTTTTCTCTGTTGTACTTATCACAGTTCACAATTATAGTCTTAATCGATTAACATCTGTGTCCCCAGCTCAGCTGCGAATCTGTCCTGATCATGCCCAGGTCTAGCACAACTCGGTGTCCAGTGAATGTCTGTGAATGAATCTGCTACCGGAACCTTGCGGGCCCAGAGTCAAGGCTGGGCACAGCCACGTAAGGAAACCTAGGTAGCCTCTGTCCCTCAGAGCCTCAGAGTTGTCGTCTGGGAAATGAGGTGATCATAACACACTAGCCTTATCCAGTAACTGGCAAGATCAAACTGATGACGAGGACTGCTCCAGCCAGCCCAGATGCCCTTGGGCAAGGACAGGGTCTGATTCATCTGTTTGAGGCTTGGCACCAGGGAGGGCCTCAGGAAATGACAGGTGAATCTCAGAGCTTAGGGGAGTGAGCCTTTGTGAGTAGGTGGGTTTGTGAGTAGGGCTGGCTGAACCTTTCTAGGGAGCCCTGCCCAAGTACATTCTGACTACTCATTCCAACCCTAAGGAAGTGTGATTATTAATATTCCCATGTTATACTTCATGCCTTCCTTCACTTATTCACTCAATAAATATCTGATTGACTATGTGCTGTCATATGAGGCTCTGGAAGTAGAGGGTAAACAAGGCAGATGGAGCCCTGCTCTTAGGGAGCACATAGTCTAATAAAGACACTCAGTGTAATAATACCCTCTTCCTCCTCTGAGGGCTCTCTATGTGCCCACGCCAAATGCTTCCATACTCATTCAAACAGTCCTTCAAATCAGGTACAGTCCCACAGTATCCATGGATCCCTGAGGTTACCAACATCCATGGGTGCTCAAGTCCCTTGTACAAAGTGACATAGGATTTGAATATAACCTACACACATCCTCCTTTGTACTTTAAGTCACCTCTGGATTACTTATAATACCCAACACTATGTAAATAGTTGTTACACCATTTAGGAAGTAATGTTAAGAAAAAGGTCTTTACACGTTTAGTACAGTCAAAGCCAAGTTTTTTTAAAAAAATATTTTCGATTCTCATTTGGTTGAATCTGCAGATATGGAGAAGCAGCTGTCCTCCTGTAATACTGCCCATTTTAGAGCTCAGCCAGCTGAAGCAGGGCAAGAAGGAGCCTGTTGCTTAGGGGATCGCAGCTCCTAACCTGTGAACTGGGTCTCCAGCGCCCATCTCCTCAACCATGGTCTGTGCTTCCTCTGGGCATGCCATGGTACTTGCGAGGCTCAGTGTCTTGCTGTGTAACAGCGAGTGCCTTCAGGGTCCAGTCTGAACTCTGAGTCTGTCTGGAGCCAACTGCAGGTCTACCCTTAGCGAATGATGCAGTCTGTAGCGGGGTGGGGGGTGGGGGGCTATGGGTTTGGGGTCCCTGGAGCTAAGGGGCCATGTTAGGTTTTTCCTGCACCAAAACTTCCCACAAGATACTCTCCTAGAATGGTAAATACTCATAACTGAGCAAGGACGTAAGTTATGCTTGAGGCTTGTGGCATCTTGTTGGTCTGTCGGTCTGTCTCCAGCGTTCTGAGATCTGGAAATAATGTGACCCCTAGGGAACCCAGGGGGAGACTGTGGCAGTGCCAAGCTGACCTAGGGCCGCCCTGTCCTGGAAGGGGTGGGGGTCAGGGAGCTAGGCCAGCGGGGCCAGGATGAAGCAGGGAACTGCCAATGCACGGATGTCTAGACCGAGGGTGGGAGGGCAGCGCTGCGATGAGCTGTACTGCCCGCGCTGCATTCCCCACTGCGGGGAACCCCATCCTCCTACTTCGACCTGACTATCTCTGAACTTCCTTCTGAGTAACAGCTGCTAACCCCCTTACCCATTATCTTCTCAAGAGCGCCGCAGACCTGAAAGGTCGCGCTTGGGCCATTTCCCGGGTGGGAAACACCGAGGGCAGCAATCGCAAATACGGGACACGAGCAGGAACCGAGTCCGCGACACTCGCATTCCGGACTCCACTCCCAAGACGGTACTGGTGGGACGTTCCGCACCCCATCACCCGCTTCTTACAATAGATCGTCCCGCCTCTGCGGAGGGCGGCGGTGAGACAGCCCACCGGCTCCCCCTCCTCAAGGCGGTGAGTCAGTCCATTCTGCCCCCAGGTCCCCACAGGATGTGTAAGGTTCCTTCCGGCCGGGCCCCGCGCGCTCACCTTTGGCCTTGCCTTTTCGCCACCGCCGGCGACCGCGGTTCTGCGACCTCTCTTTGACCTTCTTCGAGGCCGGGACCCCTGTGGCCCCGGCGGGCCCCGTTCCCCTGGCTGTCTCCATCAATTCTCCACGGTCCCCGCGCGAGGGCCAGTTCCAGCCGCCAGATCCCGCCCCGAGGACCAAGCCTCACTACACACCACCGTCGGGCCCCCATACTACCCAATCCGGGCCTTGCTTTTCCCTGGGTCCCGCCCCTTGAGCGATCTTGGCCCCACTCCACTGCCAGGCCCCGCCCCTAACCACGAAGGCTTAGGCCCTGGCCCCGCCCATCTCGCACGTATTAAAGGAGCCGCGATCAACAAAAATGCAACCCTGGAGGCGGCGAAAACCGTCCTCTGAGCAGGACTACTGGGAAGCCCTGCGGGGGACACCCCAACTGGGAAACCTCGAGAGTCTAATGCGATGGTGTTCAACATCGCCATCCCACTCACCTTCCCACAGAGGGATCCCCTAGAACGCGGCCCGGCCCGCCCGCCCTTAGGGGAGCGCAGAACACCGTTGAGCCTCCGCTTCGGGGCGGGCCAAGTCCTCAGGCAACGCAAAGCTAGGGGCGGGGCTCCAGCTTGGAGGCGTGGCCGTGCTGACAGCCGTTGGGGGGAAGCCCCGCCTCCCCCTCTCCCCCAGTCTCTTAGGTCTACTATTGCTCTTTTCGAGGTTCTATTCGTTCTCTGCTCGCTCCCTCTGAGAAGGGAAGGGGGATGCTCGGCGCCTGCGCACTAGCTTCAGGCTGCGGGCCGCCTCAGAGCGGAGCGGAAATAGAGCCGCACACAGAGAAAAGGCGCGAAACGCGAAACCGGGGAGGTGCGAGGCTCGCGCATGCGCACACTCACTGCCGCTGGCGCTTGACTGGAGGCGGTCTCACGTTCGGAGGCCGCGAGGCACCGCGGATGTCTTCATCCTGGGCTCTGGGGGCCTAGAGAAACTGCTCTCCAGCCTCTAAAAAGCAGGCCTTGAACTGTCTTTGCATCCTGCCCCCTCCTCCGCGCCCGCCGGAGTGTAGAATCGGCTCTGGCGCTGAGAGACACTAAGATCCTCTCCCGCCCTGAGAGCTGGCGCAGCCCTTCCGGCAGGGACGGACCCTGGCGCTCCCACTGCCCTCGCCTGCCCTCCGCACTGTGGCCTTACAGCATGGAGCCGCCCGGGGTTCTCCGCTCAGGATACGGCAACGAATCTCCTCCCTCTCCCCCTTCACGGAAGGGCGTTTGAACCTAGAGACGGAGACTGGGGACTGAGCACCACCGAGCTGGAGCCTGCGCCCCGCGGGCCCGGTGCCTACTTCGGAGGGCAGAGCCAGAGAAGGCCAGGGAGCACTGCTGGCTAGCCTGGAGTCTCGGTGCGCTCTCCAGAGCGATAGAGACAGAGAGACAGAAAGTGAGAAATCACCCCCAGGGGGGATGACCACGCTGCAATCCCTTCTCCTCCATTCTCCTCTCGGGATCTTGGGCACGCACGCACACGCGCCCGGCGTGAGTTTTAAGCCACTGGCTCCAGGACGCGAACCCCCGTCGACTACGTGGGAGTCCAGCGACATAGCCATTACGCTAACTGCTGGTCCCGTAACAGTTACTTTTGTAACTGAACCAGAGCTCTATTTGATTATCCTCAAATCCTCTATTGGTAGGCAGCCTGGTGTGGGGGAGAAAATCTGACATTGGCTTCAAGTCCTGGCTTTGCCACTTCCTAATTGCTTAACCTTGTGCAAGATCCTTTACTTGTTTATGCCTCATCCTTATCTATAAGATGAAGATGTCGATCTTTATCTCACGGGTTTGTTAAAGGATGATGGGAGCTAACCTGATAAGCTGTAAACCCTTAGTACTTTTTGAATGAATGAGTAAATGATTGGGAAGATCAAATTCCTCCAGGTTCAAACTCACCCGTGTCCCGGTAGTGTCTGTGATTCTGAGAGCCAGCTTTGTTCCTATATGATGATATCCCACTGTACCCTGATGCCACTTCATAACCAGATTTTCCTATGTAGCCCAGCTTCGCTTCTAGGGCCACTGTTCCACTTTTCCTGGTCAGAGGAGACTCTGTATCTGAAGGTGATCCCATATCTAATTCTGGGTCAGAATGTGTGACCCACTCAAACAGTGTCTTCCACTTGGGGGTTGATTGCTGCTCATGCGGTTTTGCTAGGAATTCCTGCTTGGTTAAAGATCCCTGCTCGTATTTGGCTTCCTGGACTGGACTTTCCTGCTGGGCTGTAACGTCTGATTGTTTAGATTCCTCTTGGGATATAGATTCGATCTGGGCAGGTGGTTCCTTTTTGGGTCCAGGGTTAGCCTGGGTTGTAGGTATTGATTTAGCTTCTTGCTGAGTTAGAGGTGTCCTAAGTCCTGGCTGGGCTCTATGATCCTCTCTCAATTCTGGTTTGTGTTGTGTTGTAGATGCTTTTTTTGGCCCAGGTCCCTGTTGGGAGGCAACTTTCTGTTGAGTAAAAGGCACCCACTGCATGGGAGGTAATTGCTGTGGTTCAGGGTTCTGTGGGGCAAGACATTCCTGCCCTGAAGCAAATTTTTGTAGGGCTCTAGGTTCCTGCTGGGATTCAGTTTCATGTTGGACAGAGGGCTCCTGCTGGGTGAGGAGTGTCTGCTGTGAAACAGGGTTCTGTTGGGTACTGGATTCCTCCTGCGGGGTCAAACCTGTGTGG